TTTTTTTTTTTTTTTTTGTTAAGGGTCTGGACATGAAAGAAAATAATCAGAGAAAATATCCTGGAACTCCAAAAGTTACTTTAAGCTTTCATAGGAGGTGAGCTCGGAAGTGGACTTGAAGGATAGGGAACATGCTAATGAATATTTGCATCCAATGTCATTAGCCACAGGTGCCATTTGGAAACCATCACCACTTCTTACGTTTTCCACGTAGTATGACTTCATGCAGTGATCTCAAAATGTATCAACAAGTGACATACATAAAAAGCTCAGAGATCAGAAGTTATACTTCAGATTGGACAAGGTCTTGCAGTGAAACAAGTTGACAAGAAAGTCCTTATCTCTTTATATTGACTGTGATGAAACATGTCAGAGAAGTTTAACAAATTTGACTTTACTGGATATCAAGGTTTTTTTTTAGGATGCCAGTAGTAAATATTCTGTAGTTCTCTGCTTTCTATTAGCAGGGGGAAAAAAAGCTATTTAATCTAGATTAACCTAATTAAGAGCATATTTGAGATTTAAATGTTTGCTCCACATTTTCTCCAAATTAAAGCTTATTTTATTCTTGAACACAGATTCAAATTTCTGATGTCATATTTTTCTTTGAAGAGTTATATCCATCTGGATTGTCTAGGTAATATCACAGTAAAAACCTTAAATGTAGTGACGTCAAACAATAGGGTCATAATTCTCACTTGATGCTACATGCATCATCACGGGCCACTTGGCTCCTCTTGATTCCCATTCATAGACCTAGGACAAGAGAATTTCCATCTTTGTGCTTCCATGATTTCAGAAGCAGGGAAAAATAAACATGGCAAATTAAGCATTGCCTTTTATTGCTTCTATACAAAAGGGAGACACATCACTTCTCACATGTCATTGTCCAATGAAAGTCACATATCCGTGATTAACTTCAAAGAGGTCAGAGCAGTCCACTTCTCCCATTTGACCGAAAGGCAGACAGCCAGAAAATACTTATAAAATCACTAATGACCGCTGTAAGAGGTGTCTTATTATTCCTATTTCATATCAAGGTCACGAAAGTAGTATGTGGAAGAGGGCAATTATGAACCTAAGTTAGACTGAAGACTTATGTATCTTATATAATATTATGCTGTACTGTAAGAGTATGTAAAAATGAGAAAGTTGCCCTCTACCTTCATTTCAACCTACTAAAAGTAAGTGAGACTACCAAACACTATTTCTCTGAAGTAACAAAATAAATATATCTGCTTTTGTGAAGGAATGAAAAGTAAAGCTTCTCAAAGGAATGTGAGGGAGGGGAGGAGAAAGAAGATGCATGGATAGGGCATCCAAGAGATACTTAAATGAGTTGCCAAAAATATTGCTCTTTTGTCATATATAGGTCTCTGCTCCAGCATTATTTTAAAATATTGATAAGAAAAACTTTTTGGGGGGGGGAGGTGCCTGGGTGGCTTAGTCGATTAAACATCTGACTTTGGCCCAGGTCATGATCTCACAGTTTGTGGGTTCGAGCCCCGTGTCGGGCTCTGTGCTGTCGGTTCAGAGCCTGGAGCCTGCTTCGGATTCTGTGTCTCCTTGTCTCTATGCCCCTCCCCCACTCATGCTCTGTCTGTCTCTCAAAAAATGAATAAACGTTAAAAAAAGAAAAAAAAAAGAAAAACTTTTTTTTTAATTTTTTTTTTTAACGTTTATTTATTTTTGAGACAGAGAGAGACAGAGCATGAACGGGGGAGGGTCAGAGAGAGGGAGACACAGAATCCGAAACAGGCTCCAGGCTCTGAGCTGTCAGCACAGAGCCCGACACGGGGCTCAAACTCACGGACCGTGAGATCATGACCTGAGCCAAAATCGGCCGCTTAACTGACTGAGCCACCCAGACGCTCCAAGAAAAACTTTTTATTTATTTATTTTTACCCCCTCTGTAGGAGAATATAAACATTGATGAAGCCTCCAGATGCCTGGTGAAACATATACTTGCAAACGAGTGTGACCTGATGGAGTCCATTGAGCCGGACGTCGTGAAGCCCCATCTCACATCACCCAAGATTGTCAGCTGCTCCAGCTGTGCCAAATCCTAGTAGGCTTCTTTGCTGGCATATGATGGAAATAATCCCATTTATCTCATGTCTCAGTTCTTATCAATTTGAGTAAATGTCAGGATAGGGATACACATGCAGCAAGCCAAAGATCTATGCCTGTATATTTCCTATAAGAGAGAAAAATAGCAAATGTTCTTTTCATGTTTTTCCCAGCATCAGCACAGTGTTTACCAGCTTGTTAAATATTTAGTCTGTTACAAAATTCTGTCTTGTAGCCGACCACAGTTCTGGAGGGCCACAGTTCTGGAGGGCCAGCGTCTGCCCTGTTATTTTCTTCTTGGATTCGGCCATGGCCTCTAGTCTTAAAGAGAAAGGGGAGAAGAGCAGACTAGCTGTCAAGTTCAGCACTGGCTTTCACTTTGCCCCTGGTGCCTTTGTCCAGATTTCAATACACTTTCTGCTGGGCTGACAGGCCTATTAAGTAGAAATGTTTTTTTCTCCAGAGATGACCTCCATTTCCAACAGCCCTGAGTTGTCTCTGATTTAGCCCTTCAGAGTCGAGTACACAGGCTTCCTGTGCTTTTCTTGCTTTTATTGTCCCTTGCCATGCCCTGAATGTTGGTTTAAGTGAAAACTGTATGAAAAGACTTGCCTCCATATGTGCCTTTCTGTTCACTTTCTCTGACTTAAGCCGTGGGGCTCTTCTGTTCATGTAATATATATTATATATATTTTCACAAGTGGAAAATAAAACATTACAAGATGCTGTTTCCCTATTTCTGAAAATGCTTTAAGTGTCTTAGTATTGTGATTTTTTTTTTGACTGTGTAGCCATGGTTCTCAAGACCCATTTCTAAATTTTTTTTTCAAAACGCAATGAGAAAAATACACTTAAAGGAACTTCTGGGCACTATTATACTTAGATGAGTCTATCTATTGTTCATTTCAGCATTTAGGCCAAGCAGTGTATCTACATTTTCTTGGTTAAGCAGAGGAATATATTTTCATATGTTCTAATCAAGAATGTGGTCTAATAGCAGACCAATCAACATGCAAAGAAACAACTAAAATATGCATGATAATATTTTGCTTTACCCAATGGCTATGGTGCTGATATGCTGAAGATAGGTACTGCTTTTTTTTTTTTTTTTCCATTTATTTACTTTTGAGAGACAGAGCAAGACAGAGCATAAGGGGGGAAGGGCAGAGAGAGGTGGGGACACAGAATCCAAAGCAGGCCCCAGACTCTGAGCTGTCAGCACAGAGCCCAACGCGGGGCTTGAACTCACGGACTGCGAGATCATGACCTGAGCAGAAGTCGGAGGCCTAAGCGACTGAGCCACCCAGGTGCCCCAGGTACTGCTTTTTAATAGCATTTAATGGCGTTCGTATTCATATTATACTCACGGGAGCTTTGTCTTTTGTAGCAGATATTTTTGGGTGTCCTACCCATATTATCTTGGCATTCACTGTTTCTGTAAGTACCAACCACTCAGCTTCTTATTGTTTGTGACCTATTCCCTGAGGGCATTCTCTGGCCTTTGGAGCACTTGACATGTGAGGTAGACAGATGAGAAGTTCCAGGAGTTCATGTCTACAGGAGTAGCTCTCAACCAAGGATAGCAGGAAGTGGGAGATGAGTATCCTGGGTTCCTTGTCCCTCAGGAACCACATTCTTTTTGTTGTTGTTGTTTTATTTTTTTTAAATATTTATTTATTTTTGAGAGACAGAGCATGAGCAGGGGAGGGGCAGAGAGAGAGGGAGACAGAATCCAATGCAGGCTCTAGGCTCCGAGCTGTCAACATAGAGCCCCACGTGGGCTCAAACCCATGACCTGAGCCAAAGCTGGACACTCAACTGACTCATCCTGAGGCATACTTTATACAGTCTCACAGGGGTCCAAGTGGGATTAAGCCCTGGCTCTCACAGGGGAAACCTGCCATCTGACTCATCCTGTATGGGCTTCCTTTCCTTTTTTCCTCACTTCCTCCCTCCTCTACTGGTCATTTCTGGGTTCACTTCCTAAATAAACTACTTTCACTGAAATCCTTGTTTCAGGGTCTTATGGGGAAACCCAAACCCAGTCTACATTAGTTGGGACATAGGTGGCCTAAGAAGCAGATTCTCAACAGCAGCTTCTTGAACTGAATCATTCATCACCCAGCTGGTAGCAAGGACCCCCTTGCTGGTAGACAATGTGGTAGAGCTAATCCCTAGCAAGCTGTAGCACCATAATTACTAAAATTCTCATCACGTGGTTTGGGATAGAATCTAGATGGAAGGAAAGTCTATTGCTCTTGGGTTTCAGAGACATGAGATTATGGAGTTAACTTCCAGAAACTCTGTAGGAGAAAACATTATAGAGTTGATTCAGCTAACACTCAACTCAGGATTTAGTGCATAATCTTGAAGACCTCCAAACAGCAATCAAAATAATCCTCATTTCCCTTAGCTACAGGATAGACAGGATGGACGCTGAAAATCAGGCCTAAGACTTTAGGAGAAGCAGACTTTTATTTTTATTTATTTTTAATGCTTATTTATTTATTTTGAGAGAGAGAGAGCACACCCACAAAAAGAGTGGGGTGGAGAGATAAAGAATCCCAAGCAGGCTCTGAGCTGACAGCACAGAGCCTGATATGGGGCTCAAACTCACAAACTGTGAGATCATGACCAGAGCCGAAATCAAGTCAGACGCGTAACCAGCTGAGCCACCTAGGCTCCCTGAGAAGCAGACTTTTAAAAGAGGCTGACCCCACAGAGCTAGCAAATTTCCTCCACTAAAATCAGAATTTTTGTAGGAAAGAAATCATACACTGAAATATAGAAGGAGATAATTTGGGTGGATGCTCTTAAGAATCTTGAACCCAAAGATTGTTCTGAAACTGTGGCCCAGAAAAAAAGACCTTTACCCTTTCCTGGGGGGAGAATAACCACTTGTCACATAAAAGCTCCACCTGAGTAGGATGTTTTAGAAGGTGATGCTTTTCCTTCTCAAGTTCTGCTCTCATCTTCCCTCATTGCTTCCAGACAAATAACTAGAATCAAGTCTCAGTGTGAACAGTCTCAGAGAAGAAAACTATGCTCTATGTTGCAGGGTGAAAAGGATTATTAATCAAATGAACTATAAAGCCTGACTAATAAGTATGGGTAGGAATCTGGAGAATGTTCTTGAATTGGTCTTAAGATGCTGCATCAGGGAGGACAGAATGTAGCACCAGATGATGGATAATCTATTTCTATGAGAGCACTCTTTAATGAGTTAATTTTTAACATTCTGGCAAGGAAACCTGGAGCTGATCCCAATGTGCTACTAGAATAGCTCTTTGAAGCTTGGAAACAATGCTGGCCTAAAATAAATGATGTGGAGATGCCAGAACTACCTTGGCAAAGTATTAGAGAAGAGCTCTAAGGTCTCAAAGAGGTGGGCATATTATAATGTATTTATTTTGTAATATCAGAGAAACTACCAGCTGATTATGTTCCTCAGGAGAGCCCAGAAGACACTCCCTTCACTAAAACAATAAGGAGTGTCCCCCAAACAGGGATACCAGCATCAATGAGAAGCTCACTGTTGGTTGTTCTCTGTGCCAGATTTGAGACTGTAAGTATGTTGCTGTGTTCACTGGGAATGATACCAACATGGTTAAGGTTCAATATGTGGTATTAGCATATTTAGTGCTGGGTCCTGGATCTTGAGCATCAAAAGGTGGAAGTGGAAGTAAAGCCTCCTACTATCTCTTTAAAAAATCAACTTAAGAAAGTGAGCTTCCCCTTTGTACAACTTCAGGCTCTGCAAAGTTAGAGGTCTTGATCATTCTACCAGGGGACATAGTAAAGATTCTGCCAAATCTATAGCTTCTTCAGCTGCTGCCTGATGTTTTTGGCTCCTCATGCCTACGGGCCTGTTGTTAGAGAAGGTTGTTACTGTACAGGCAGGGGAAGGTCATCCTTATTACCAAGAGGAGAGGGTTGCTGCTAAATAATGAAACAGGGAAGAGTATGTCTGGAAATCCTGGGGCTCATTGGAGTGCCTCTTGATGCTTCCATGCCTAGTGAGAACTAAAAGGGCAATTGCGGTGATAACATCTGGAAGAGTACAAGTAACCAGGGACTCACACTCTCAGGAACAAAGCTCTGCATGCACCACATCGTGACCCTCAGCTAGGAGCAGGTTGGTCAAGGGACAGAAGTGGTAGAGGAGGGAAATGCTGCATGTCAATGATGTTCTCAAAATTAACTACAGCAGTGGAGATGGGAGCGTATCCCACCAACCCTTTATTGTGAGTTCTCTAGTGCTCTCCCTCTGTCTTTGGGAATTATGACCAATGACTTCCTTAAAAACATCAGTGAAAGGACAGACTGAACTTAACATTAGCATAAGTGAATCTGAGAAATGCAAGGCATGGGCTACAATAGTCAACAGCGGAGGAAATACCTGTGTCCGCCCAGCACATGGCTTCCAATTGCAGTCCTCTGAAACTCTGCCTAAAAGCATTCCCCAGGTGCATGGAGTGTATTTGTTTTGCATGCTGGACAGGCCAGAGTGTTACAGAGTTAGTTATCACCTCTAGGAGCAGTCTCATCTGAGACTGACAAACAGGCAGATAAGTACTTCAGTATCGTCCCCGGCTCAGGTGGGATAAATCTGAGGCTAACTCTATGAACCCTCAGAGGTCCCTGCTGGGATTGAGGCAGAATTTCACACAGTAGTGACCTGCTCATTACCACAACTGTTTTGGTTTCCCTTCCTTGCCTGTCCTGGTTCTCTACTCCTCTGCCAGTGCTTCCAAGGATCATCTCCCAGTGAGGAGATTTCCATTTTTGATTGACCTTCAAATGCTAATAATTCCTTTTTTAATGTTTATTTATTTATTTTGAGGGGACGAGGGGTAGATTGGGAGGGAGAGAGAATCCCATGCAGGCTCCTCACTGTCAGCCCAGATCCTGACATGGGCTTCGAACTCACTAACTGTCAGATCATGACCTGAGCCGAAATCAAGAGTCGGAGGCTTAACCGATTGTGTCCCCTAGGCTCCCCCAACTGCTAATAGTTCTTAAAACATCAGAGCACCCAGGCAATAATTTTCATTACCATGGAATCTCTAATTCAGTTTTTCTTTCTAAATATCCTCTGAAATGTGGTGTTTAAAATAAGCATGGTAAGATTCAAACTGTCTTCTAACCCTCACCCAGCATAGAAAATTGTTATTTACAGCCATCAAAATGAGTATTCATTGATTTATTGATTCCTTAACTCCCTCAACAAATATTTATTGAACAATTGGTATATTCCCAGCACTTGGCTAGGCACTTTTCCGAAGACACAAATGACTAAGTCATGGTCTCAGATCTTAAGGTGTTATGATCAGGTAGGAAACTCAAATATGTAAGTAATCTACAATGTATCAAGAGAGAAGTCAAATGTCCAAACTGAGATATTTCTTCCGAAAACATAAGTTGTTTTTAAATGCAGGGACTTCAGCTCCAATTGTGTTTAAGGAAATAGAATATATGTGCCTACCATTCTCTTCCTAAAACACCAGGATCTAGCCACACTAGACTATTTTGTTCAGCTAGGGCTTCCTATTGTTTACAATATTCTTTGCTTTTTTTTTTTTTTTTTTCCTGGAAATCCTACCCATTCTTCAAGATCGGCATAATGACACAGACTTTGTAGACTTGTAGGTCTCTGTAAGTAATTCAAATCTCTTCCTATACTT